TGATCTGTGGAAACACCGGTGCATGAAACATCAAAAGAAAATTGAATGGTATGTGCACTTGCCGGGATATCTATTAGGGCCCAAACCGCCTTCTTAAGCTAACGGTTTACTATATCTGGTCCTTAATGCAAATGGTACAGCCAACTCATTCGTAACTTGAACAGCGAGAGAGACAGGGAAGGGTCGAGGTATGCTTTTCAAACATCCGGGCTTCCTTGACATTTTAATTGATCATTGTTTGATTCAAAAATCTAATCCAGTCATTTCACTCTAAACGCTGTCGGTGGCACAGCCAAGACTGAAATTTCATTGAGCTTGTGTTGGACTCTTCTGTGACAAAAAGTTAAAGCGATGATACTAAACTCTCTAAATACTGCGCTTAATTGTGTCTCGAATTACGTGAGGAATAAAAATCAAGGAGGAAAAACCTAGGAAGCGATAACAGGAGTTGTGTTGTATAGGAGCGGAGTCATCAGATAACTAAGGTTTCAAACCTGTCAATCCTGTTGATTGCTAACTGCATGGCCTGTTTGAGTTTTGCATCTTGACACAAATTATGGTTGTCTGTGGCGCATGGAAAGTTAGTCATGCGCGACACGGCAGTAGTTTTAATTCAGGGGAAAGCGATAATTGGTGTTATTATACATTGAACTCACCCAGGAGCCCATCTCCTGACTCACTATCTCTTATCTGATCGACCAAAAGCGCACACAGTGAATTTTCAAAATCAGCGCTTGTAACGTCATTTAGCTGTAGATTATACAATGATCATGTCAAGGACACTCAAGGTCACGGGAAATCATGTCATGCACGACAGCGGTGCATGATTTCTAAGGGAGAATCATGTCAAGTTCGCGCGCTTTATGTTGCTTGCCATCTGTGAAGAAGCAAAAACATGACATACATTTCTTTGTCGTTCATTCTATAATTAAAAATTATTAGATTCGGTTTTTGCAAGAGATTATCAAGGTAAGAGAGTGAATCCCCATATAGGTCCTCTAACTAAGGTAATCCGTCCTAAGTTATTTTTAGGCATTGTACCCAGTTCTTCCGCGGATATTACTAGCGCGTTGTGTGGATGTTTTAGTGGAGGATTTGTTTATATTTCGTTTCGTTTCGTTTCGTTCAAAGGAAAGGAAAGCCTCCAACGCTGTGGAGATGCGTTCTTTGATATTTTGATTGCAAGCAAAGGAGCTTCGGCTCTTGGTATGTTTTAATACATTTCGAAACTTTAATAGGAGTTTAAAATAACAGACGGATGTCTCCTGCACAAACAATAACAACTGAATGAACAGCAGCGAAATGTTTAGACAAACGAGTGCAAAGCAAACAAACGCCCAAACACAAGCTAGGCAACCAAACAAACAGATGGTCGAAAGTGCGGGTAGACGCTCGCTGCCCAAGTAGAAAAAAGCAGTTTAAGCAGCAACGGGAACCACGCCAAAGACAACGTCGATTGAAAAACGACTTAATATTTATATTCAACCTACGAAACTCGCGAGAATTTAGATTCATTCAGTTTGTCTATACTGTTAGAAATATCCCAAACTGAATATGTAAGAAAAATTGGCCTTCGTATAGTCACGTTCTCTCGAGTATGCACAATGTGGCTATTTCACGTTGTTGTTTTGTGACCTTTTGTAAACAACGGCAGAGAAATGAACAAAGAATTATAACGCATGCTTACACTGCCATTGTACTCGTTGCCGTTGCCGTTAAAGTTTGCTCAATTAAACTCCCTAAAACCCAATAAACGGCAAAATAATGAACAGCCAAACGAGCACAAAACAAACGAAAGCCCGGCCGAACGAAAAGGCGGCTAAGAGTGCAGAAAACGTCTCTGGTGTGAAACGAAACCAAAACATATAAAATGACGTTCCCGCCATTTCGTCTCAGGTAGTTTCGAGAAAGTCGCTTCGGCTGTCCTCTCATAGCGCGAGTAACATCCTCGGAAGAACTGGGTACCATGCTTAAAATAACTTAAGAGGGATTACCTTGGGTAGAAGGCCTATATGGGCGATTCATTCTCTTACCATGATAATCTCTTGGTTTTTGTGACATCCAGAATAAGGTAAGGGTTATCGGCCTCAGCCTTCTGCTTCGACTGATAACCCCAACTTCGACTTTGATTGTTCTGGATATCACAAACACCTCACCCTGTGTTTAGAAAACAGTTCTAAGAAAATAAGAGCTGATTGGTTAAAAATCGTGTTTCTATAACGCGATAGAACAAGCACGAGCTGTTGACGTAATGATGGCGCGAGCAAAGAGAATTTACATTTTGATGATCAAAGTAAACAAGTTGTTTCCATTTTTTTTCGTCGTGGTGTTTTCTAAAAGAAATAGAAAACATGTTCTCCGTGTTTCTATCGAGTTATAGAAACACTCGTTATAGAAACACTTCTATCGAGAAACACTCGTTATAGAAACACTCGTAAGTTATAGAAACACTTCTAAACACTCGTTATAGAAACACTTCTATCGAGTTATAGAAACACTCGAAAAAGCTGTGGAAACACTCGCCTACAGCTCGTGTTCCCACAGCATTTCTCGTTCTCTCAAACTTACACTGGTGTTTCTATAACTCGATAGAAACACGGCATATGTTTTATATTTCTTTAAGAATAACACACCGATTGTATCTAAGGGCCGGGTCGCACTAGAGCCAATTTTGTTTGTATTGTTTTTGTTTGTTTGTAGCTCAGGGGCAAGGCCTATTTCGGGGAGATTAATTCTCTTACCCCTCATTCTCTTCTGAAATAGAGCAATAGGCAATCTCTGCACGTGCGTTATAATTCATTGGTCTTAAGCGAGTCTCTGCAAAATAACGCAAAATAGCTGCATGATATGATTCTCTGCATTTCAATTTGGAACAGGACGTTACGTTTTCATGCCGAGCTAATATACTTTGAATAGATCTGGATATTTATACTTTGAACAGATATACTTTGAATAGATCTGAATATTTGTTTTCTACAATGGAGATTTAAAAATCTCCAGTTGAAGAAAAGGAGTGCCATGTGTCTTCCAGCATTCTCTAGAGTCTCCGCGAAACCCGTATTTGTTTTTACTCTAAGCAGGTTTTATTGTTCATTTACCCAATCAAACTCTTGCGATGTCGACCTGGAGAGATTTTATAGAGAAATTGTATCAGGTCCAGTTTTTGTTTTTGTTTTTGTTTTTATACTTTCATGACAAAACCACCCACAGGGCGACCTACAGAGCGACCCATGGCACCATCCACGGCATCTGAAGGTTTGTTTTACATTTTAATGTTAAAGTAACCTGTTTTGAGCTTGGTTTAACTGCACCTACAACTTCCGGACCTTTAAACACAGACAAATATTTACAGTGAGCTTACCAGATCAAGCTGGTTCACTGTCTGTTTCAAAGGAACATAGTTGTTATAGTAAGGTTATGGGAAAGGTCAGCCAATCCTTATTGCAGAGACAATGTATGAGTTTGTTAACAATTTGTGGTAATTTCTTCCAAGTCATTTCCAATCAGTTGAACAAGAATGTGGATCCATGTGACGACTTTTATTCCTACGCATGCGGAGGGTTTTCCAAAACCCATCATCTCAGTGCGGAACAGAGTAGCGAAACTGGCTTCACTATCGTGAACGACGACAACATGGAGGTTTTACGACAAGCTATGGAGACTGCTGCTTATAACTATTCACAGGTTTGGCACGAGTAGTCTAGGACGCTGAACTAGATTCAAACCAATCAGAGCGTAGTATTTTTGTAATGGACCAATTTCTGTGGTTGTTCATTCGCGATCGCGCGTTATTCGAAAAAGTGTTTCAGCCAAATTTGCAGGGCTTTGCATTTATAGAGCTTGGTATGTATCATTTCTACATTGAACTGATACTTTTTTTTGGACAAGAACTGTTCAGTTAGACCCTTCTCAGGTCGCCATTTTAATGTCACGCAACACATATGCTTGAAAATTAATACGTGCTCTATTAGAAAACGAAGAACCCGGTGGAGCATAAGCGATGTAAAACGTTAAAGTCACTAGAGGGTCTTACATCTGATCAAATTTAAACTTTAAAAGGATTTAAAACTTTTAGATTCGAAGCATGATGATGTCACATGAGAACTAGCATATATATGTTTCAGGGCGATTTATATGTTATTTCCCGGCCCTTGTAGGTCCTTACTGAGAAGGACGTTGCCCGAAGCCTTGAGTTGTCTAACAACCCGTAACCGCAGCACGTTTATACCATATTTGGGCGAGCATGCATAATTTTTCCGTATTTATTGTCGGATTTCATGCGACAAGTAGAGATACCAGTTCTTGCACTGGAAGGGCACCAACTTGACGTCTTCATACAAAACTCTATAGATTTGGGTGGAACACTTTTCCAAATAACGTGCACAGACCGAAATCTTGATATTTCAATCATCTATCAAATCTCAGATTCTTGACTGAATTTATGGAATTGTTTCGATTTTTGATTGCGTGACAGTAAAGACCATGACCAGCCATATTTCGATTCTACTGATTAAAGCTGGTTAAATGCCATCTTGTCTTGTAGAGTTCATCTATCGTGAAAACTGCCAAGATCTACGATACATGCGTAGATACTGCTGCCATTGAGCGTCGAGGGATCTCACCTTTGGAAAACTTGATAAAGCAGTATGGCGGCTGGACAGTGACTGGGGATGGAACTAACTCGTGGACAGTGGCAGAGAAAATGGGCGCCGTTCTAAGAGACTTGAATGTACAGACCTTGCTTTCGGTATCCGTTGGTACAGACCCACAGGACTCAAACCAACACATTCTAAGTGTGAGTATAATTAGGATACTTACTGATATTTGTACGATTTTATCATCATGGTATCTAAATCAGCGGAGGATTGGGATTTAGTGGGGTAAGTTATGGTGTGGTGTGTTGGGGCAGTGTAGGGCACGTGGAAAGGTAGGGTAGGGTACGATAAGGCGCTTGGGAAGGGTAGGGCAGGGTAGGTCGGGTAGGGAAGGAAAAGGTAACAAACACTTACAAGAGAAAATGACACTAAACAAAAATTGGACAATAATTTGTCTTGCATTTTAATATATTAGTGAGATTGTATTGTTTTGAATGTAATATATCAAACCCGGGAGATTTGCAAACACCGAAAAGGAAAATAAGCGCACCGGGATATTTTTGAGTGGCTTTGAGTCGCGCTACCGAAATGGCAGACTAAAGTTGTCTATCCTCACCTCAGTTAACAAAAGCGGTGATGCGACCACAGCCAGTATAATAGCAACAACAAACAGCTTTATTTCCATTTCCAAGATGACTCGACTGCCCATTGGTTTACGTCTTTAGTCACATAATGTTAATAATTAGGTAAATTATTATTAGCTGCAAATGTTTATTTAAACTAGATTAGATCTTACATTGTAAAGTTTTAATTCTTATTTTGTAACTGTTCTTTATTGCTTATTTACACACGACCCCACAAGCTGCAAGCTTAATTACTTATCGGGATAAATAAAGGTTACTTACTTACTTACCTTAATTTATGCGACTGAACAAAACAGAAAATAACAATAACGTGAGAAAAAAGAGAGACGCAAATCAAGTTACATCAGTCTGATTTAGATAATACATTTTTGCGCAAATCTAAGCATAAGGAAATTCAGCAGCATACATTTATTTTTTAGTAGCTTCTCGATCCAGCTGTTGGACACAATTATTGTAAGGGCAGGGAAGAGGGTGTAGGGCAGGGTATGATGACATCATTAACTCCACCTAGAGTTTCTGAAGTAGAGTAACTTACTCACCCTTCATTTTCTCTTCATTCTTATCTTCTGTTTTTAGATCAGATTTTCTTCGCTGGGACTGGGTATAGGCTACTATTTTGATTACTCAAGTGAGGGCCAAAAGGTTGGTAGGAAAATATTGTATCATGGGTCAAACTCGAGTCGGTGAATGAAATTTGTACCAGTCTTTATGGGTGTATAAAGGGCGTGGCTAGGGGGGTCCTGGGGTGCCTGTGAGTCCCCCCCCCCCTTTTGAAAGCATTTTTTAGCAAACAAACTACAACATGTGGGAAAAACGGAGGAGGTCGACATAACAATCTGGTGAGTACCCTCACTTTGACACAGTGTGACAACCCCTTGAAAAATCCTTGCTACGCCCCTGTGTAAGATGTATGGATATTCAAGTGAAGTATAAACAAAACCTAAAATTCTTAAGTGCAAAATACTGCTGTTAAGTAGATTTGCCGAGCTTACAATCTATGCATGGTGCAGTACATAACTCCATGATTCTCAGTCCATAGTCGATATTCCAAAATCTAAAAACTAACAAACGGTAGAGGTTACGAGAATGAACTAGTAATTATAAACTTTGCAAGTGAACCAAAAACAGCGAATATCACCGCTTTTGAGTGCTTGATTTTGCATTAACACACTAAGCGATTGGCACATAAACCTCACACCACTTGTCACTCAGTCAGTAATAAACCCAAAGCAAATTGTGACACGCTCGGACACATTTTCCTGCACTTTACATCGTATGCGTCGGGTACTTTGAGGTTCGATTGGTTTACTGGATTCTGCGTAATTTTTAGTAGTGAGAGTGATAACTTTCTCTCTAACAAAAGTCGTCTTTGTCATTATTCAAACTACAGAGACTTAGGCTCCTTCATTTGCTTTATGATATAGGCGAAAACAATAAAACACGCTTTTTCTATGTTTTATTGAACAAATAGATTCCATGTTGCCGTGCATCTGTTCAGTAATAGATCACAGATAACGTCAAAATGTGGTAAGAACAAAAAAGTGGCACACGAGGCGATAGCCGAGTTTGTCAATGATGTTCTAACCACATTTTGACGTGTTCTGTGATCTATTACTGAACAGACGCACAGCGACATGGAATCTATTTGTTTTATATAATAAAGAAAAAAAAATGCGGTTTCAGTCAACACTGGAGGCCATTCGATTCGAGTTTTAAATGAAAGGACCGTTGGTGACGGTAGAAATTTGTGTCTTCTGTGGTTGGCTATTCTCAAATCAGTTTAACATAGTGTCGGAGACATCTTATAGCTGCGACACAGTTGGCCGTGAGCTGTAGTTAGCTATACTTTGCTCGCTGCTGTGTCCTTGAACGGACTGGAACATTCGCATCGGAAAGCAAGGTTATGTAACTATTTTAGCTGATTTTAAGACGTGATGTTTTGATGTATCATTCCCAACACCAATCTGTGTCAACATTGATTTTGAGACTGAGAAACGTTGAATTGTTTAAATAAATTAATATAATAATTTTGTTTATTGGTTTTGTTAAATTCGACACAAAGCAATAGTTTGTTACCTTAAAGTAATTTATAGACCAATTTTGTTTTTGCCTTAGTCTCGCTCGACTGCCGACCGAGACAGCTCGATTATTCTTCTGAGTCACTTTCTGAAAAAGAATCGGCTTTTTCTTTCTTCTTCTTCCTTCTCGTACCTGTTCAAGGTCTCAGCAAGACTTTTTTGTACTTTATCTTTCGCCCAGTCACGTAAGTATTATCTCACTTCTCAAAACTTTCGGCCATTTTAAGACACAGGGAGAAAATCTTTGAAATGATGACGTCAATCGTGCGTCTGTCCTCTGATAGATCATAGGCGAGAACCACTAAAAATGCGAGAATAACTTGGGTTATTATATAAACTCTGATAAATATTGGTTTTTGACCAATCAGAGCGCGCAGGATCCTATCTACATTATCGAGATATATAAAGTATCAGTCCTGACAAACCATCAGTTTCTTAACTTGTTTCTGCAATGTCTATAGTTTACCGTAATTTTTTAAGGAGACAAAAAGCGTTGATGAGGAAAGCGATTTTCTCAGTAAATTACGGTCAAATGAATTACTCCTTGGAGTATTTTTGTTGTGTTAACGGTTTGTTGTTCCTGCAATTGCTACTTTTCCAAACGTCTTTTCTTTGCAACGTTCTTCTGGTTCTCTAATAGCCAGTATGATTTACAAGCAGTCAGTACTTAGTGCTCAATTTTAGGTTATCTGCTTTACTTTTTATGTACAAGTTTTGGAAGGGCAAATTTGTCATATTAAGTTTACTGCTCCCAACAAAAAGTTACAAATCACATTATAAAGAAACGTAGTCCTTTTTTTTATCAAAGAAGCACGAGTATGTAGTGTCAGCGGCTACCCTAGCATTTTGAAGACAGATCAAACATAAGCATACATAGCAATTTTTCTCGGATAATTCTGTCCAAGGGGGCAAGGTGCTTTGAGGTTAACCCTATTAGAAGCACCAACCCGTGAAATAAGGCCAGACCACAACACCAGGGACTCCGTGCCCTACTCTTTCCGATAAGTGTGTGGGTTCTTTTACGTCCCCTGCTAATCATGTAACACTGAAGATGCAGGAGACAGGGTGATTGCTTTTTCATTTTTCTGTTATGTCTCTAGTTGCAGTAAATCAGACTCCAAGCTTTGTTGATTCTTTTTATTTTCATTTTTTAGGTAAAAGACATGACTTCTCGTCTTCGCAAAGCTTTCATTGATAACCTTAATTCTGCAGACTGGATGGATTACGAGACAAAGCAATCCGCCAAGGAAAAGGTACAGAAAAGCTAAAACACTATCCCGCAAATTCATAGGTCGTTTCATTATTTAGTCGTCTATAATCTTTAGTTAGTTCTATTT